TCTGAAGCAGCTCCAGACTTGTTGGTTGTGATTTGGGGATTCTGCCCCCACTTTAACAGTTTCTCTCCTTTAAACCTGCATAACATCTCGTGGGATCAAGAAGAGGTGCTTACACAGGAGGATTTCTTTCGGTTTTCAAAGGTTTGCTGCAAACAGGGGAACTGTGGAAGGTTGTAGGGTCAGAGAAGGGCAGGGGGAAGACTGACAAAAGATAAAATGTATTTTATAATAGGGCAAGTTCAGTACAGGAATGCTACAGCCTGTTCTGTAGCATGTTGGATGCATGGACACACATGTAGATAATGTGTGTGTGTACAATACAGGTATTTCTGAATGAGGTCAAGGAGCTGGAGTTAATATTCTGCACATAATAAATTAACATATGATGGTTTGACACGCTGTGGTTTCCCTAAATTAACCATTAAAAGCATTTTTATATCTGGATTCCATAGGGATATTGGATGTTTTTCCTTCATCTTACCTCTCCTGGCTTGAATTGAACATGGAGATGTAGAATGATACTCTAAACCATCACAGAGACTGCCCATTTGGCTCCTTCTTTCGAGTGCTTTGCAGGGTAGTGTTGGGTGCTTGCCATGTTTGGATTGCAGGCAAATCAAGTTTAAACATTAAAATTCTAGATCCATATGGGGCCAATAGGCATCTTGGAGACTTCAGGGGCACAACCCACAAGAACTCTTAGGTGAAGTGCTTACAGAATGGAATGGTTTTATCTGGAGTATTAGGAGAAAATACCCTTTATCTTAAATAATGTGAGAGGGAACGATAATGCTGAGCTGCGGCCATAATTTTTAATGTATATTAAAAGATTGGGTATGTGAGGCTGCATTTTTGGCAACAAAAGGAAGTTTGGGGGTTGTTTTTGTTTGATTTTTTAATTCCTCCCTCTCCCTGACAGTAAATACCTTCAGTTCTCAGTGGTTGGATCACCACTTAGCAGGATTAGCCCCTCTGCCACCCCTTTTCCTCCCTTCTTATCAGTTAAAGAATTGTGACCTGTGATGGAGATTCCAGGTGCCAGGAAGGCCTGAGGAAGGCAATCAGATGCCTGCTTTGTGCTCATAGATCAGATACAAGAACCAGTGGAGAGCTGGCTGAAGTTTAGCAGATCACTTCTTGGGAACTTGAGCCAATTACCTGGAATGGATTTAATGATTAACACTTAAGGTGAGAAATCAGAGAGCATGAATTAGCTTAGGATGTTGGCTTAGAATAGTCTCCAAGAATTACTAATTTAGCCTCCTTTGTTACAGAAGCTGAACAAAATATAGGTGACTTGCACAGAACACAAGAGTGTGTTGATTTGAGGTTGATAATATGCCAAGACTGAGTCCCAGAAATTCACGGTGGAATTAATTTCAATACAGGTAAAAACTGACCTGAATTCCGAGTTGCTGCTGGATGTTTTGTTCTACTTGAGTGCAACCAGTGCTCCAAGGGAGATGATACCAAAACATGGTTCACAAATACCTTGTATCTGATGGAGTGCTGCCATGCACTGTGGTGAAGTATCCCATTTCCAGCTGATGAAAGTCAGTTCTCTTCACCTGAACATCCAAGATTTCTTACCTGGATGAGATGTGTTGTGTTCCCATTATCTCCAGTCTCTGAACATTTTTACAAGGACATCATTTGGACATTATTTGGCAAAATAAACTACTTGGAGTTAAATAAAACATTTGTCTCCCAGATGGAAAGTTTAAAGACCTTTTGCTGCCAGATTTAAACTTTCACCCCTGAGGTGGTGTCTTTCAAAACTTACTGTCACTTGCACCACTAGAGGAAGTTACTCTCATTCCTGCCTGATCATCTGTGATGCCTCCTTGTTTCTCCAGGCTCATAGCCTTGTTTTTAAATGAAAAATGAAATACATTTTCATTCCTCTCTTGTATTGCAGTTGTTTAGAATTTTGTATATGAAGAGGTAGGAGGAGATTGGACTTTAAAGGAAGGACAGCCTGTTGTCAGCATAGAAGGTATAAAAGCAAAGAAAAATGTTACATTCCAAGAGGTCTTCCCATTCTTAAATTGCTTTGCCTGTGATCCCCATGTAGGTATTTTGAATTCCTGAAACAGGAATCTAGATTGATCCAATTTAATAAAATGACACTGTGATTCTTTTAAATTTATTTTGGTTCCTCCCTGTGAGAGAAAATAGTATATTTCTACTGAATGTATATTTTATTTTTCCAGGGTAATCAATCCTGTATGTTTATTAAGCCTGAAGTTCACTGATTTCATCCCCCTGTACCTTCCTGACAGAAGGGTGGTGGTAGCGTTAGGAAGAGCAGATCCTGGAAAGTAAGAGTAGCAGCCTTTTTGGAGGAGCCTTGGAATGTCATGGCAATGTAGTTTAAAAAAAAAACAAACCACAAGTTTTAGCCTGTTTCTAACAGTGAGATCCCCCAGTCCTTTGAGGGGTGAAGCTTTGTCTGGGTTTTTGTCCTTTGGGTGTGGTGTAACTTAGTGCAAAGGAATTGCTCACCTTGGAAGAATTTCTGTCAGTAAGAAAGTCCCTTCAACGGCTCCTCCATTCTTCTTCATCTCAGAATGACCAGAATAAGAAAGTTGAAGTGCATTTCAAGGGGAAAAGAAGTAAAATTATCCTAATCTGAAACAATTAACTTGCAAACTTTCCTAGTGGGCTCTTTTCCCGAGCAACCACTTTCTGGCTTTCATGAGAAACTCCCGCCCTTCCTTCGTGCTGTGACCAGGCCTGTGTGGCCACCTTGTCACTGGTGCTTGAGGTAATTTGTCCAAACCCCACTGCAGTCATTAAAAAGAATTCCAAGTGTTGGCATATATACAACTGTATTGTTCCCATAAGTGTGCTGGAGAGAGGATATTTCCTCAAGAGCCCTTAATCAGGCACTGGACAATTCCGGCTTTTGCTGCGCCGGTGTTTCTGTTAAACTTTGTGATTCTTTACACCAGAAATTCCTCCTGCTCTGAACAAATGGTTTGTGGAAGGTGGTCTCTTGTTGGTTTTGGTCTTGATATCTCTAACTTCATCGCTCCTGCATGTAAATCCAGAATGGAAAGGAAAAGGAATCCTCGGAGCACAGCCGTGCCTGTGTGTTCTGATTGAAACTCTCAGTGCTCACAGCATATTTATTTACTGTTCTGCCAGCCCTGTCCTATTATTTGGAGGGAAGGGAGCTGTTTGTTGGATCTTTTAAAAAAAAAAATCTGATTTTGTGTTTTGAGATCAATACTCTGGAGTTTCAGCAGGTTTTTTGTAGAGAACTGTGCAGAACTGGTAATGCAATAGATAATGGAGTAAATGTTGTAGAACTGTTAATACTCTGCTGCTTGTGATATATCAACCCCTCAGTGGCATAGTGGTTTTTTTACTGATCTCCACCACAGCTCAGTGTTGTCTCCTTTTGGGATATTCTGCTAAAGGAGTTAATATTAAGTCCTCTGGGTATCAGGGTGAAAATTCTGGTGTTGCAGCATTACACAAGATAATGAAAATTCTGGTTTTGTGACTTTACATGAGATACTGCAAATGGTTTTATTCCTCTTCCATAAACTGAGGGTGGTCCAAACAGGCAAAACAAAAGGATGAAGCACATAAGCAAGGTGAAAAACCTGTTTAAAATCATTGTTATTTATTGCATAATAGGAGAATCAACGAGCAAATCGATGTAATCTTGAAACAGTGATTTTGGAAGAGGAGAAGGAGGGAGAAAACAAAAGGTTGCACAGGAGTAAAGGAGAGAGAGGGGGGTAGCAGGTTGTGAGGGGGTGGAGGCTGTGAAGGATGGAGGAGATGGGGTTAGAAAAGGAACTTTACCAAGAAACCTCACCACGAGCACTGTCCCACCAGCAGGGCAGCACAGGGACCTCACCTGTGTTTGCCTGCTGAGTTCCCCAACAGAATTCCTACTGCTTGGAATGTGGCTTGGCTTATTTAGCACTTCAGAGCAGTTCAGGACTGTTTCTTGCAGACCACCTAACGTGGTAATGGTTTCCTGTGTTTAAAACAAGTTTCCACTGTAGTGAGATTATTTTAATAATGCTATTTATCTGGGAATAAGAGGAATTTGGAAGCAAAAGAAATGAAATAAATGGAGGCTGTACACCTGGTGGAGAATGGTGATGTGTTTCTCAGCTGTTTGCTGGTGCAGATTGTATTTTAGTAGCTGGCTAAGGATTTGTTAGTGCCCTCTGATTTTTTTTTTTTTTTTTTAAATTGTGGCTTTTTTCTGTACCTATGTATTGAAAATCAGCATTTTGCTGTGATTGGTTTGCACTTATTTCTTCCATGATATGTTGGAGCAAAATGACATTTCTCAGTTAGGTGATTTATTTTGTTTCTTAGCTTTTTTTTGTTTAGAGTGGTGTAAGGGAAGTATTTTTAACATTGACCATTGTTTGTCTATTCTAAAAGGGTGAGTGAAATGAGAAATTTGAGACAGAAGTAACCTGTGGAATGAACTATTCTGGAAAACCATTTCCCTGAACAAGTGTTTTTGAGTTTTCAGTGACTGCCTTGTGTTTGAGCCTTCATTTGGATTTTAAATAGTTGTTTTGTAGTTATTTTAATATCTTTAAAGAGAATTTACTGAAGTTTTAGGAAATCTTCCATTGCTAGTTCTGTGTGTGTTGTGGTCCAGTCACTGTCCTGATGCTCTTGGTTACTCACGTGTTTGAAAGGTAAATTGTGAGCTACAACCAACTTGAAGGCAGATGATGCTCTGTTGTCCTGCACAGTTTCCTTGCTGTGCCACAAGCAACTGAATAACTCATAACAAAACTGGAAACATTTCTGGGGTTTTCTCTCTTTTTTTTTATTATTTTTTTTCTCTCCATCCCCCCCTTTCCAGATTCTAAGCTACAGATTTTTCTCTTTTTTGTGGCCTGTTTAGAAGAAAGAATGCCTGACTTGGAAGCCTGCTTTAAAATGCCTTCTGGTTTATGAACTCACATCTTTTTTTTTTCCCTCCTTCCCCCAACTTCCCTTCTGTTTTGCAGCCATAGACCTTTTGTATGGGGGTATTTACTGCTTTATGTGTCAAGATTACATATACGACAAAGACATGGAACAAATTGCCAAAGAAGAACAACGAAAAGCTTGGAAATTACAAGGTTTGGTTTTCCTGCCTGAATTTCTTGTTTCTGTGTTGTTTTTTTTTAATCATACCTGTCCCTCCCATTTGTCAGTGGCAAAAAAAAAAAAAAACAAAACCCAAAAACAGTAAGGGGAAGAAAGAGCTCTTTAGAGATAGTAGTGCAGGCCATGGGAAGGAGATGTTAGATGTTACTTTCCAGGAGTCAGACTGTGGGTTTAACATGTGCACCTCACTTAATTGTAGCAAAACTAGCTTTATTTTTAATTGAAAAAAAAAAAAAAAAATCTACCATTAATCCTGCAAAACTTGCATAAAATCAAAGAGTCAGATCTGTATTAGGTAGCAAATGTAACAGTCTGCTCCTTTAGGCTTATTTATGTGATACAGGCAATAAATCTGTTCCCCTCACATGAAATGCCACCCTTGTGTGTGATTTTTTTATTTTTTATTTTTTATTTTTTTTTAATAGAACGTGCCAGCTTTACTTACACACCTGTGCTTTCATGGTACACGCACAGTATCTATGTAGAAGTATTTACACACAAATATATGTACACACATTTGTTTTATTCAGTTTGCTTTCCCTAATTTTTTCTTTTTTAGCCTTCACCCCAACAGTGGTTTCTCACTACCAGTGTACAATGACAGGTAAGAGGCGTGGGCTGGCGACGCACCTCACTAACAAGCGTCCCTTTGCTGATTATCCTGCCATTTTAGACATGAATCACAGTTAAAAATGCCAGTTTTATCGTGCAAATCATCTCCCTTTTGTTTGGATATGTTCCAGTGATTGAATAAGTGCAGCGGACTTGATTTCGTGTGCCCTTTCCTTGGTAGAACTGCTACAAAACAAACCTTTTCTCCTTTTTTTGTTTTGTTTGTTTGTTTGTTTGGAAGGGGAGCCTCATTTATTCTAGACCGAGTAGTTTGTAAGCATCACTTCTAAAAGCTTGTCATCTTCCATTTCCAGTGGCCTCTGGGGGGATGTTTTCTTAAAGTGGGAAAGTCTGTATTTGAAGACAGATGACTTGTGTCTGGTGATGTCTCTCCTACGGAATCCATGGCATCCTGTTTCGATGTGACAGCCTTAGTCAGGGCTGACATGACTTCAAACCATTCTTAACCTCATTTCCAATTTTAAAAATAGCAGTCACCATCGTATTAACAGGAGCTTTTCTGATGGCGCATCGACAGATCGCTGCCTTACCTTGCTCCTGCTGCAGGGCCCAGTCTGCTCTCTGCTCATGCCCTGTCTTGAGGGACCTGAGCCAGAGGAAAGGGGAATAGTGAGACTGCCACTGAGTCCCAGAACAAGGAAATAGCACCTGAAAATGCTTTAGCACAAAGCAATAGTTTTCAGAGCAAGACAAAAGGGAAACGAGTTTCTAAACTTGTTTTTAGGCTCAGCATCTCTTCTGGAAACTCCTTCCAGCCCTTCAGACTGTTGTGTGGGGCAGAAAATTAATCAGCTGCAACAAAATAACAAATCCTCACCATGCTATAGAAGAGGAAGCCCCACCACTTCCTTACTTTTAAATATGCAAATGTAAAGACTTAATTTTGTAGTTATGTTGTCCTTAGCAATTCATAGGGTTATGTCCTCTGGACTGAGATGCAGCCAGTTTGTCCTGCAGTGGCCATCAGCCTGTAGATAAATTCCAGGGGAGTTGGAGCTGCAGGATTGTTCATCTGGTCATCTTGGACAGCAGAGTTGTGCAGAGGAGCTTGAAAAATCACCAAGAGGAACTGCCAGGCAGGAAACCTCCTCTGTGCTGCTTAACTGACTGATGAATGGCATGTTTTTATATATACATACATATATATGTTTGTATGTATAAAAATATGTATAAATATATCTAAATGTGTGTACATGGCATCTTCTGGCCCTGCAGAACAAATCTCTAGTGACCAGTAAAGGGATAGACACCACCACTTTAAATAACCAGAGTATGCATTTTGCTTTAAAGTCATAGCATAGGTTCTTCTGTTTTGTGTTTCCTCACGAATTTATGTAGGGAATGATACAGGGAGACACGTGGGAGAGCTAATGGAGAATTATGCCTTGTTTTTTTCCGTCTTTCTCCATTGCTTCTACCCATCCCCTCCCTTCCTCATGTTATCTGAAATATATGAGGAGGGATGGAAACCCTTCTCTCTCCAGATTGAGTGTGAAGATTAGTACAAACCCCAAACTCAGTGTCTTGGGTTTATGTTTCTACCACAGAGTTAATTTACCTCAGAGCTTGTGGCCAACTTAAAGAACTTCAGAAGTGAATCCAGTCTGCGAAAAACTCAGATTGGCTTAAAAAGTGAAGTGTAAATGCAGTACATTTTCAAATTTCTATCCACAGTGCTTGAAGGGTGCTAGTTTATACTTCAATAGATGCTCACATAACAACATGATGCCTGGAGAAAAAAAAAAAAAACACCACAAAACTTTAAGAAAACCCCCAAATAATCATGAGATTCATTCCATACTCCTGTAGTATTAACTCCCAGTGTGATGAGTTCACATGTCCACCTGTCGTTCAGGGTTACATGATGTAACTCTGAACAAGTTGCAGCTTGGCCATTATTTTTCCTCTGGTATTGAATATTCTGTAATAATGAGGGAGGTGAGAATACACAGAGCCCTTCGGTCTAGTTAATGTTTGGAGTTTTTGGAGGGGAAAAAGAAATTGCAGAAGTTTAACAAAGTAAACGATGGTTACTTGCAAAAATGTGACTTCTATAAACCAGAGCCTTTACTGCCTTTTCCTTCACTCATCCCTATGTCCCTGATGAAGTCTCTGAGAAATGCCAATTTGAGTATTTCACCTAATAAAATAATTCCTTAGATGGAGATTTCACATGCTTACTTTAATCTCTGGCTATTTTATAGCATCATCCTAAAAATTACTAATTTTCACTTCTCTAACGCTATTTTTCTTTAATTGTAAATGGTGACCTATGCATGGTTTTGTTTAAGGTAGTTTATATTGGAGTTTTTGGCATGCTTGTGAGTGTTATTAAACCTTTTATTAAACCTTTTTCCTTCTTTGTGCTTTGGTTGTTTTTAGTTTTTAAGCATCAAACCATTCCTAATAAATGGTTCTGTCTTTTTCCCCAAAATTTCAAGAGTCATAAAACTTCAGTATTCCTGTTAAATTATATAGCTGGAAGAAAACACTTTTTAATTTTCGTGTCTGCCTTAACTTGCGCTTTTTTTCGAATGAAAGGCTTCTGCAAGAATGTTTTCTCTCTGGTTTGCTCTGTGCCATTAACTGTACATGGTTTTCTGTTTGCTTTCATTTCTTTTTAATTGAACAATACTTGATTCACCCAGAACCCTTCAGAGTAATCCAGTGTGTCACGTTTAACCTCACTTAGAGTTGCTCTTGGGAGATGCTTTGGTCCCCATCCTCTATAACCATTTAAGCTATATAATTATATATAGATTTATATAAATATATAAGAGTAGTCCTACTGACATGTGTGGACCTATTGCATGGCTAAAGTTGAGCTCACATGTGTTTCCAGGTATGAATTTTGCTATGCTTGATTTAAACCAGGATTTACACATATCCAAGGGGTTTTATTATCAGAGTTCATTGCAACATCACACGGCCCTGATTGTGTTTGGCCCTGTTTTAACTCCAGCACCCCCAAACCCAAGAGTTTACAGCTGCCCAGGGCAGCTGCTGGTACCAACACGGGGTTGAAAGTTACTTCCATAAATTCCTAAGGGAGCATTATCAATCTGGTCCCTGAGGACACCCAGTACCAAACCTGCTGTGTCCTGTGGGGACTGTCCCACATGTGCATCTCCAAAGGGTCTCCGTGCGTGTCCTCTGCAACCCTGTGGTGTGTTCAAAGCATTCAGCTCTGTTACCTCATCAGTCTCCCACTCATTCCCTGCCTTTTCTGTTTTCCTGGGTGTGTAGCTTTGATGCTGAGCCTTGGATAAAGGAAAGGGACTGGATGGTTCTGGTATTCTCCCTTATGCTCCTTGAATAATCTATTGTTGAACCAAACAAAGCGAGAGACGGGTGCATTTGTGTAAATAAGAATTCTCTGCTCCTCGAGAATCCAAAACTGAGACCTTCTCTTAGTAGAACCTGGAGGGTCAGTAGTGACTATGAATTGAACATTTTCGGGAGGGTAGCTTCTGACAAGCATAGCAATTTCTGAAAATGAAGATCAAAGAGCTATTAAAATTTAATGTATATTATGCAGAATGTGTAAGCCTCCAGCTATATTTTTCTACTCTCCTTCTTTTCATATATATGATTTATAATTTATTTTCTGTAGCACAGCGCTGCTTCTGCTCCATGTACTCTGTGAAAAATAACTCTTAATTGACTTTAATCCTCAGTTTTAGAATAGATTGCTTGTCATCTTATTATTCTTTATTTTTAATGCCAAGATGCCTTTGTGACTCAGAATAATTGACCTTGCATAGTAATTTCTGTGCTACATAAAATGCTGCAGCAGTACTTGGCTGGTCAGCACGTGAGTCTTCAATGTTGTGTTTTTCTTGTATCAGGTTTACTCTGAACACAACTCTGTGCTTATTTCAAATCTATTCTCCCTGCTACTTACCTGACTCATTCCTACTGCACTTTCCTTTGAACAAAAACAATGTATTGCAAATACGGTGTTGGTGTTTAAAGAGAATAATGACATTTTTATCTGCAGTTCATGAGAAAGAGTTAGTTTAAGCCTTGGAGAGTTTTGGATGGTTGGTGGAGGGAGGGTGGTGGTTAAACCTACTACTAATTACCTTTTAGGAAATGCAATATGTAAATCTCAAGAATTAAAACTTGATAATGTGCAGTCTTACCTTAGTGGTATAAGGAGAGGTCACACTCTAACGGTGTATCCTAACACATGTAGTCACTGTTTAGTATATTGAAATAAATTCTGCTGTTCTCTAAAGATAAAGCCTACATCTGTCCATTAAGTTGGGTCAGCTTAGATTTATTTAATAACTTGTCAGAGTTTGGTGATGAGATTTCCTGGTTATCCCGTATCTCCTAAAATCATATGATGGTTCTGTCATTCGACCTCCTCTGAGCACAAAGAAATGTGTTTTTGAGTAACAGCGAGTTTGTTCTTGTGCTGGAATTTCTTTTTAACTGGAAGGAGGATTGTAATCCAATAAGGGAAAGTTTTTTGACCTAGCTATTCTATATAAGTAAAGAAGTGCCTTTTTTTTTTATTTTATTCCTTTACTTCATACTTGTTGGAAAACGGGTGATACCTTTCTGAACCATATTTTATGGGGAGGGATAGAAAGCAATGAGCTTCCTTTGATTGGACATAGATTGGATCTAACCTAATGGACAGCACTTTAAACTTTTGAACAGAGTTTTCAATCCTCTTACTAAACAACTCCCTGAAACTTTCTTCTCTTCTGCTTAGGCATTGGAGAGAAGTATTCAACATGGGAGCCGACCAAGCGAGAGTTAGAATTGCTACGACACAACCCCAAGCGGAGAAAAATAACCACAAACTGCACCATAGGTGAGTTCCAGACATCCTTTCCAAAGCCAAATTCTCAGTCACTCGAATGCTCAAAATTCTGTGCTGTTTTGCCATAAATCTTTTTACCCTGGTGTAGTTGTAGTGGATTTCTGTAAGCTTTAGGATAACAAAATCAGTTCATTTTATGCTACCTTTTCCAAGCTGTGGAAGGATATCTTCTCTGTCACATCAGGTACTGGTGATGATAACAGCTACAAAACTTAATCTTTTTTCTTTTTACACTGTGCTTGTGAAGAGAAATGACTGATTTTACCTCAGCTCAGCTTTCACCAGAGACCCTGTGCAGGGGAATGAAGGGCAAATCCTGTAGGTGATGCATCCTTAACCATAGCAGCCTGCTGGTAAATCTGGTTTTAGCAGACAGAAGCAGCACAGATGTCTTCCTGCTTCGTGTTCTAAACTCTGAACAGGATTTCCTCGATTTCATGTGGACTCTGAAAAGTGATTTGTTCTCCAGTGTGTGTCGAACAGCAGGTTTGAGTTGCATCTCAAAGGTTTGACATTCAGTCCTCTGGAGCAAAGAACTCTCTGAAATGTGGGTGCATCTGCTTATGGCTGGAGAGTATTTGGGTAAAGGTGATGGAAAATTAACAGTTTTCCCAATTTTTTTCCCTGCTGCTTTTAGGTTGGAGAAATAGGGGGTTAAAATTAGCTTCATGACAAGCTCAAAATAAGATTAACTGACGTTTTTTCAATACTGTTAAATGCACAGTAACATTTTAATGGTGAAGGTTGGAGATAATGGTTAATGGTACAAGGTTGTTAATGGCACAAGATTGGACACGTGACTCTATAGTCATTGGAAATAGGAAACTGTTTAAAATTTTTTTTCCCAATTTTAAAGCTAAGTATTGTTTTATGAAAACACATCACACTTTCAGCACATTTGCATTTGTCAAAATACGCTGAACATACCTGCTAAAACTTTCTAATGTCATGTTTCTAATACAGTAAGTCATATTAAATCCAAAGTATGGCTGTATTTATTTGGAAAGAATGGACTGAGAAGCACAGAGTAAGCTGAAAATGTGTCTAAAATAGTAATTCCGAAGAAGGGACCCTATGCATTTGCAGTAGTGGGACAGGGGAGACAGCTGGAAAAACATCTGGACTTTGGAAACTTCAAGCAACCTAGGAAAAAATGACGAGGCAAAGACTGCTTGCATCACGTTCACACTGGGATCTTGTGTTCTGTGAACCCCCAGTGTGTTCTGTAAGGAATGTCACAAATTACTAAAGATAATAGAGCTACGCAGGGGGAGAAGAAATTCGATAGAATTTTGAAGGTTAACGTGACCTTTGTGAAGAATTGAAGCACATTTCTGTGTTTCTCTTTCCAAATCTGAAGGAATGCTCTGCCTGCTCTGAGAGGATTTTAAATTTTTCAGGCTTTTTTTAAAAAAAAAAAAAAAGGGCCGTGTCTGGTGGCGTGAAATCTCATCCAAGGCTGCCTGGGTGGGGGAGCTGCCGGAACACGGGGACTCGGGAATGACTGATCTCTTCACTTCTGCAGGCCTGCTTTTAAGAATTTCTCCTACTGAGCCCTGGAGCTGCCTGTGTGCTGAGATTTAGAAAGAAGGGAAAAAAAAAAAAAATTAAAAATCAAAGCACCCAGGAGACATAATGCAGTTTTGGGCTGCAGTTAAAAGCAGAAGACTTGCTTTCTTTCATAAAAATGCATCGGGGGTTTAACTGAAGGAAGAAAAGACCTGCCATTGTCCTTGAGCCTTTTCTCTCCATCTAACCTGCTGCTAAATATAAATCTGCTTCAGAGTCTTTTTGCCTTCCCTTCCCTCACGTTGACTTGTCTGTTTGCAGTTTCAGATCAGTGAAGAGCCCTATTTGCAGGCTGAAATGCTGCAATTAGCTGGACATTCTCATTTCTCACTTTTTCTAATGCTCCGTTCTTTTGACACCAAGTTTTTCTCAATCCCACAGCAGATATTAGTGAATCCAGTTTATCTTCAGAGGTAGGTAAATGGCTCAGAGAACAGTCATTGTGTCCAGTTTTATTGGTTCTGAAAATGAAGATGATGTTGATAACCATCTCTGCACATCTGTTGAGCACTTCTGTTTACACAAGAGTCTGTTAAAACATAACCAGCTGCCTTTTATGTGCAAAATGCTCTTTGCAAAGCTGGTTTTAGAGGAAGGCCAGGGGTGTCTGTGGCTTTCTGTCCTACCCTCAGAGATCCACGGGTGTCACTTGGGAGGTGGAATGTTCCACCACTCCTGGAATGGTTTTTGTGCCAACACCTGTTTCAGCATTTGTGTCAGACAAGTATATCAGTGTTATAACCAAAATATGCAGGATAGTGCTCTGAAACCTGGATGGGTGTGGCCTTGAAAGGATGTACATAACTTGCATGGGAAGGACTTGCATATGATTTTGAGCCCTAATAATAAAAATAAGTGAAATGTGCTGATATTCATGTTTAGAGCACACTTAGGTGGTGAAATATGTTTTGTTGTGGTTGCCTCTTACATCTCTATTACTTGCATGACACTCATTTAGGTGGATGTTTTACTCTACAGCTGAACATTCTCAGTACACAAATGGAATCTTTTTATCCCAGTTTTGTAGCAGTCTCACAGTGCTTCTTAAACAGCTGGATGTGTCTGCTGCTTTTTGAGCTGCTTGAACCTTTGAGCTGCAGGATCCTTTGTCTTTCATCAGCACCATGAATTAACACTGAAGAATACTCAGACATGAGATGAATATCTTATGATTTTTCTACTTAAGGGACAATTTGAAACCCATTGAAGAAGGAACTTCTTGTTCATATCCTCAAAAAAAATGAAACCCCAAACAAAAAACTTAACAGATACCCATAAGTTTTGCTTGGTTCTCTTTTAAAATGCCGTGTGTTTTCATCTCATGATGCTTTTCCATCTCATAGGGGCTTTTTCCAGCTGGTGAAAAGATAGCACAGGTAACTTCCCTTGGATCACTATTTTACCACTGAACAAATTGCTCTTGAAATCAAAACTCACACCAGGCACTGCTGCAGGCTGTGGAAACTGTGCTGATTCCTACCTTTTGGGATATAAAGAGCTGCTCCCAGTGTTGCTTGTAAGCATCTTCAGAGTGACTTGGAACACACTGTTAACCAAGTGGAAACATGGAACTGTCCTACAGGCAAAAAACCACGATGAAAAATCCTTGCAGTGAGGATTTTATGTGGGACATTTCATGTTCTGATGTCCCAACAGACTGGAAATTTTATGGAGCTTCTGTATTTCAAGGCACTCAAGAAGATTGTAGGGTCTGCTCTGACCATAAATATGCTCTGTGGTAGCAGTGCCAGCCCAAGACATTCTCAGACCTTCTCCCACCCCAGATATTACCATACTGATTTTTTTCATTGTGCTGCCTCAGCTGTTTTCAGGTGAACCAGAATAAGCTGAAGGGATGGCAAACTGTGGGGAAAGCAGAAATTTGCTAAGTTATTTTATATTTCTCTCAGCAGCAGGACTGAATCCTGCCCTAGACTATTCAATTCGTAGAGAATTTCTATCCATAGAAATGCTCATCTTAACTTTGGATTGAAGCTGATGTTTCAGGCATCCCATAAACACCAGAGCTTTTGTATGGAAAAATTAGATAAGACTTAACAATTGTTAACCTGCAATCTAACAGTATAAAAGAAAAATCTAATTCCTCCAGTCTCCTCCTGCCTGTGAAGTGGCCGCCCTCAGCAAGGGAGGGAAGCGGCCAAGCTCCAAATTCACAAGCAAATCCTTTGTTAGAGGGTTGAACCAGAGAGTGATACAATATCTTTGGGGAACTATTTTCCAAGCTCATCTTGCTCTGCTGTCTTTAATACCCCCAGCAGATCCGTTCTCCTGGGTACATCAACTATTAGCTTGGGATCAGCTGGTCCCTGATTAGCATATGAAGTGACTTTGTGGCTAAAGATGGGTATATTAACAATAGGAAGAATTAGCCTCCCAATGCACGTGGGTAATTAGCAGGAGCCACCTGGGATTCCCATTTGCAGTGTTGCAAAAAGGCAGAGGATGGGGGGGACAGCCTTTTCCAGGAGACTGAGCAAATCCTCTTCAGGAGGAGTGACGGCGTGGGGAGAGGTGGCAGAGCCAGAACTGCCTGGGAGTAGCCAGGTGGGTTTTGCAGCTGCAAGGCCGAGCAGCCTGGTGGGACAAAGAGCAGCATGAGTGGAATAAATAAATATTGCAGCAGAACTCCTGTGTGAAGGTGGCAAGGGAAGAGGAACAGTGGCCTGGAAAATATTTCTGGTTCTCTAGACAAGGTTTTAGCTGTAATGGCCAGTCTTTGCGAGCGAAGATCCGGGGAAGGTCTTTACAAGGTACCCAGGAGCATTTTTGCTTTTCTAACTTGGAGGTGTTGAAGGCTGCATTAGTAGTTGGGTGTTTTTGTGAATGTACCAGCTTTTGGGTGTACTTTTTCTACTTGAATGGTACCTAAGGTAGCTCAAGTGGAAAAGTGGAATGAAAAATGTGGCTTGGTACAGCACCATACTTTTAGCTGTAGCTTTAAATTTAAATTATTGATTTTTAAGCAGTAATACTTGAATATTTGAAGTCATGACTGCATGAAGTGCACCTTGAATAGAAATCTCTTTGATTCTTGAATTCTTTTAGACTGCTGTGTGACGAAGGAAAAGAAAACCACCTCTAAGACTACTCAGGTGAATGTTTCTTCTTTGACTGTTTTCTGTGTACCTTCCTAATTAGAATGGTTGTCTGGTTGGAGAAGTGTTTCCTGAAAGGTTGAAATAGTGAAATCAAAAAGTTATACCCTTTGTTCAGGGAGATCCTTCTGTTCCTTTTTTACCTCGTCATGAGCTCTGACCATTGGGCTGAGTTGTATAATATTTTTCCTAGGTCTAAAATTGATCATAAAAATAAATTTAAAAAGCCCTTTCCTCCCAAAGCTCCCAGGGAATTCTAAGAAAAATTAGAAAGGCCTGAATATTTTAAGAAATCTAAAACATAAA